CTCTGTCTCTCCCTCATTCTCTGTAACTCTTTCAAATAAATAAAAAAAATTAAAAAAAAAAGAAAATTAAACTCTCTACATATTAAAATATAAATATTTCAGATTTTAAGATATGGTGGCAGCATGATGCTAATAAAATGCCACTATTTTAACAGTGAAAAATAAGACAGCACTGGAATATTAATATACCAAACCACCAGAAAGAGTGAGATTGCAATCTGTTCTTTGAGCCTCAATGTTCTGCTCTAAATAACTGTTGGGGTCACTTATGAAGAGTCTCGTGTTGCTCAGATGACACAGTGTCAGCTCCTTCCTTGTTTCCTCTCCCTCTCTGCAGCCACCAGTCCTGGCAGTCCAGCAACCTGGCTGCCTTTGGTTTCTTGCCATGCTACTCATAGACCTCATCCAAGCCAAATACATTCTACAAGGGAGTCACTAGGGGGAGCTATTACACTCCAGTTGCCCTGCTGGACCCTCAGGAAATAGTCATGGCTGCCAGATCATAGGGGCCACAGTCAATTGTCAGAAAAGTAAAGAACAGCCTACAATCATCTTACACAAATGTTTTTTAAAGAGAAAAATATAATATCCAACAAAGTGGCTTTTAAAAGTAGGAACCTAAATAGGGAGTCTATATTTTTACTGAAAACTGTTCAATATGATAATTATTAGCATCCAGTTTCAAATTGTGACTAATTCACAGAAAGAAAAAGATGGCACTGGAAAGAAAACCCAAGATGGAAGGAGTAAGAGGGAAGGCATGAGAGGTAAGAGGGGAGAGAGTGGTAGGGGTTTCATCAGTCAGAATCCTAAAGGGACAGGCAGAAGGTCAGAACCATGGAAAAGGGGAGCAAAGTCTAGAATAATGGGTCCTGAATAATGGGTGTAAGGCTGCCACAAAACACACCAAACACCAGAGTAAGGGAAAGAGTTTATTGGGGGAAACCCGACAGACCAGAGGGAAGGGGCGAAGAAGGAAAAAGAGAGAGAAGGAGAACGTAAGAGAGAGACAGAGACAGAGGTCAGGAGATGGAGAGGAAGACACACACACACACACACGTGTTCAGGAACAGGTCCTTTTAAAACTTTGCCAGGGGTAGGCAGGGAAGTAGGAGCAGCGAATCCCATTAGGATGGGGGTAGAGCTTGACACTGGTGGTTGGGCCATGTGGCCACCTGGCTTCAGCAATGTTGGTGGGGACTAGAGCCTAGGATGGTGTCAGGGCATAGATGGCGCCATAGATAAGACTGCGCCATTTTACTAACAATGGGTCTTACCTGTGGTCTCCTAGCAGTGAGCTTTAGGGACATGAGGTGGTTCGGGCCTTTCCTCACACAACAGACATGTGTTTCTATACTCAAGGGTTAAGAGTTCCTGGGCTAGAGAGAGGCAGAAGCAAAGAGGAAGAGGCAGAGAGGTAAAAAGATGGAGAAAGGGGGTTGGAAAGAGCCACAAGGGAAGAAAGCAAGCAACAGGGTGAGGTCCTCTCACACGCTTCAGCCCATTTCGGGAACGACCTGGGCTACACCTAGCAGAGCAGCCTGCCTCGGCACCCCTCAGTGGCCCACACCCTCTTCTGCCTCCCTCAACGCTTACTCCCCACCTTCAAAGGGAGCCCTACGGTCCTGACACTTGACATGAGCCACTCTCGGGCAACATGGAGAGGCAGCCTGCACCGCCGGAGTCTACGTTTAGCCCTGTCATCTTGGCTGCCTTCTCTCTCTCTAGGCCCTCATTTCTCATTTGCATGGTGGTGGGGCTCAGATGAAATGGGATATATTTGTGCCAATACAATGTCAGCTCAGAAGTTGTCTGGGGGCCTGTCGAGGTTCCAGGTGTCATGGACAGAGAGTGGCAACTGTAAGGCCGTCACCAAACACACCAGACACCGGAGTAAGAGAAAGGGTTTACTGGCGAAAACCCAGAAGACCAGAGGGAAGGGGCAAGGAAGGAGAAAGAGTGAGAGAGAGAGAGAGGAGACAGAGAGAGAGAGGAGAGGAGCAGAGAGCGCAGAGAGTGAGAGAGAACAAGATCAGGAGAGGAGAGGCGCGCAGAGAGAGATGAGAGGAGCTAAGAGAGAGCAGCCACGTGGTCAGGAACAGGTCCTTTTAAAACTTTGCCAGAGGGCGGGCAGGGAAGTAGGAGGAGCGAATCCCATTAGGATGGGGGTGGAGCTTGACATGGGTGGTTGGGCCATGTGGCCACCAGGCTTCCAGCAATGGGGGGTGGGGGGTGGCAAGAGCCTAGGATAGTGTCAGGGCGTAGATCGCGCCATAGATAAGACTGCGCCATTTTCCTAACAGGAACAAAGGCTGTTGGAAAGACAAGCAGGCTTCTCTCCCTGCCTGTGCTGGGGCTACAGGAGTAGTGGACTGGAAAGGAAGGGAACCTCTCTTTTTGTGCTTCCGTGTAGTGTGGTTGTAGGGTTAAAGAAGGTGGTTATTTATGGTAACATCACCAAACCAAAGCATCGAAATCTGGCCTCTGTGCTAGGCCTCTTCCCTTCCTTGGAGTGTCTCCTGGGGATGGCCCCGGAGAACATTCGGGAACTGAGTTCCGTAAGTTCCAGGCTCCCCTGAGGTAACTTGTAACTCCAAATGTAATTCTAGAGTTCTTACCATGAGCTAAAGAACTACTGAGAACGATCCTGTCAGGGGTTTGAAGTAGGGATGCAAAAAAAGAAAATAATGTGTCTCGATTAGGTCAGCCCCTTTCCAGGAGTGAGGGCTCTCGCCAGAAGATTCTGAACCTCGTGTTGTTTTCTTAGGGGTTCTATTTCCTAAGCCTCTGCGGGGTGGAGGGCAGGTATTGCGCAAAAGAACAGAGGCTTTGTTTTGGCTGCCTGGAGCAGACAATGTCCCCATTCACGGGTTCAAGGTGGGCTGGTTGGGGTAATGGACTGAGGAAGAAAGGAATAGATCAAGTGTGAAGATTCTGTGCCCAACACCTTCCACATGCTTCCTCCCAGCGAATCTGACCCTTTTCAGGGAGATGTGTGAACTCAGCTGTTGCTTTGATGATCTTTCCGCTGAGGTGAACATGGAAGCCATATGGCACCCACTCATTTACAGGCCTCCGAGAGAAGGCTCTGAGCCAAAGGTGCATAATGAGCTCCTCCTTGCCAGTCAGTCAACAAGTGGGGCTCATTAGGACGCTCCCTGGAGCGGTGCTCTGCCCACGGCCTGGCTGGCAGGTGTCAGCACTCTTCCCGCCTGCCTACCCCGTGGTGCAGGCAACCGCTGTGGAGCCAGGGCTTCTCAGGCAAAGGGAACGGGATCCGAGCAGCACTCACTCGAAACGCCCCTCGACACCTGCTTCTTTGTCTCTCTGCGATGGGGGAGGGGGTTTCACTTCTTGCCAAGGGCATTGAACCATTCAAAACACGGGGGCATGTTTTCCAAAGGTTGTCCTTGGAAAACAGGCAGCAGATCATGTGTGTTTTTAAAACAGAATCCAGGACAGGTGCTGTGGGCCTCAGTGTTACCATCTGGAGGATTGGGTCAGAGGACAGCAAGCTACAACCCTTAGACCAAATCTGGCCCACTGCCTGTCTTTGTCCATAAAATTTTATGGGAACACAGCCCTGCTCATTTGTTTCTGTGTTGTCTACAGCTGCTTTTGTGCTACCATGATGGAACTCAGGAGTGGCAACAATATTGTTGCACGTAGAGAGCCTATACTCTTTTTTTTTTTTTAAATCTATTTATTTATTTGAAAGGCAGAGTGAGAGAGAGAGAGAGAGAATCATCCATTCCCTGTTTCACTCCCCAAAAGGCTACATTGGCCAGAGCTGGGCTGATCCAAAGCCAGGAGCCAGGAGTTTCCTCCAAGTCTCTCATGTGGGTGCAGGGCCCCAAGCACTTGGGCTATCCTCCACTGCTTTCCCAGGCATGTTAGCAGGGAGCTGGATCAGAAGTCGAGCAGCCGGGACTCCAACCAGAGTCCGTATGGGATGGCAGTGTTGCAGGTGGCAGCTTTACCTGCTACGCCACAATGCCAGCCCTGAGAGCCTACATTATTTATTGTGTGGCCCTTTAGAGAAAAATGTTTGCCAGGCTCTGGGTTAGATAATTTCTACATTTTCCAATCCTGGGATTTTTTTTAATATTTATTTATTTATTTGAAATTAGAGTTACACAGAGAGAAGGAGAGGCAGGGAGAGAGAGAGAGAGAGAGAAAGAGAGAGAGAGATCTTCCATCTGATGGTTCACTCCTCAGTTGGCCACAATGGCCAGAGCTGCGCCGGTCTGAAGTCAGGAGCCAGGAGCTTCCTCCAGGCTCCCAACGTGGGTGCAGGGGCCCAAGGACTTGGGCCATCTTCTGCTTTCCCAGGCCACAGCAGAGAGCTGGATTGGAAGTGGAACAGCCGGGTCTCAAACCAGCACCCACATGGGATGCCGACACAGTAGGCGGCAGCTTTACCCGTTACACCACAGCGCCGGCCCCACCCTGGGAGTTTTTAAAAGGGAATTCATCACCCCTTTCCTATGTGTATTTATATTGCTTCTGTAGCCATCGGATTTTTTAGACATGGCTGGGGAAAGCAAGGAAAGCCAGAGATGGAAGAGATGGCAGACAGCATTTGGAGACTGAGAACTGGGTGATTGGCAGCACAAACAAAACAAAAACACGGAGGGGAGTTCAAGACAAGGCAGGGTTTCTTGTTCAGGGTTTGTTTTAGACTAGTAAATGATTTTCTAGTCTAAAACTGAAGTAGGAGAAGTTGGATTTTGTGCCTACAACTTTTGCCTGGTCACAATTCAAAACACTCGGAGTCTATATTCCCAGATGGAACCCTGATCTCTCCTCCATTACGAAACTTCCTGTCCTTATCTCATCCATCCAGCAATAAAGATGTTAATCCATAAATGGATCCATGCTAATAAGCTAACAGGGAAAGGACATATTAGCTGCATCTCTCCTGCCTAATGGTTAGACTCTCACCTACTACTACCTCTAACACGAGGAATTTCAGCTCCGCAGATGGACTGAGCACGTACCAGGCTCTGGCGCCGGAGCCTCACGCCCGGCTCACCGTCTCCTCCTTGTTGCCACCACACCTCCTGTCTACTCGTTCGTGCTCGCTCCTGCATTCACGGAGACTATTCGGCCCCAGCTTTCTTCTGCCACAGCTCCGGCTCCATCCTCAGAAACTTCAGGTCTCACCTACAACCCCTAGAAGACCACAGATCCTCAGCTGCCAGCAGCCTCGGAGCCGATGGCCACCTTCTGTGTTCCGCCCCATCATCCGCTCCTACAGCCCTGCCCCGAACTCCTTATCGCCAGAGGCTGGATCCAAATCCACTCAAAGCCAGGAGAGCTTTCACTGCCCCACCCCCAATATTTACCACATGTGGAGAATCCCACAGGAGTCTGAAAAAGAGTCACGGATCACCGCTTACCTGAAAAGGAGATGAACTGTGGAAACTCCACGGGAAAACACTGAGTTAGAAAGTTACCACTAGCCACAAAATAAAAAGTGAAGTGGAGTTCTAAGTCAGGAGCTGAGGCAATACCTAACGGCTGTTAGGGAGACGCTCCTAATCATACCAAGCAGACATCTCTGGTCAGTCAGATAACACTGCGCTACGGGCAATACCCTCCTGCCCACGCTGACTGGACAGTTCAAACATAAGTAAGACGTGAACAGTATTGACTGGACTGCTCAGCTGCAAGCAAGGAGGAAACAGCATTGATTGGACAACAAGTTGGCGATGGCAAGCTGGAGGACTGCCGGAAATGAGGATAAAAAGGGAGCCCGTGCACCGCTCTCCATCCTTTCAAGGATCATGGCCTGGTGCGTGTAAACCACCGGGAGCGGAAGAAAGAAGAGCGGAGCTGTCACTGGGCTGTCACTGACGAGATCCTGACCCGCTCCTGACCTGTCCCAGCCACGGCTTTCTGAGCTGCGTCCGTTCCTGAGCCGTTTCAGCCGCAGTCTCCTGTTTGCGGCTTTAGCCGCATGAGCCGCCCTGTTCCTGTCTAGTGCCCGTCTGATAAAAGTTGCTGTAACACTTTCGGCTTTGCCGCCGAACCAAGGGCCCAGTGTGTGTGAACCTCTGGATCTCCACGCATCCGGAGCTGAAGAGGCAGCCCGCTAGCTTTGGCTAAGCGGCACAAGGCGAGGACGGGATCAAGCGGCCAGCGGCGCTGCTGCATTGCCGCCCTGCTGTCGGGCCTGACCAGCAGAGCCGCCTCGCCTGGAGTCCTTATCAGCCCGCTGCCAGAGCTGACCGCAGAGCCGGACCAGGCCTCTCAGCAGGGGACCTCTCCAACTTCTCGCCTTGTTGCCCGCCTGGGAACTTTGAGCCTACCGCCCAGAGTGATAGCCTTCCCATGACTTCCGGCTGCCTGTAAGTGACTGGTCCGAGTTCTGTCCCTGCTGGGACGTTGAACCCTGGACACTATACACTCCCCACTGGAGAAACACATTCGTGACAGTGATCCGAGCCTAGATACGTAGCAAACCAATGTTATGTATTGAATCTTTTGCTGTGCTTGTGTTGTTCATTGTGATAGTACTTGATTATTTTAATAGTGTTTGTTGTGACTTATGGTATAAGAATATTGATTTTCTGGCCGATAGTGATATTGTTAAGATTAGGTATATATATTGAGATAAGTAGTTATGTTAAGCTAAGTAATTCAGTAAGTGTGTTAAATTAGCTATAAATTATGATAAGTGGTATTATTGACATTATTGATAGTGATATTAGTGATATTGATAAGTGTGTTAAGTAGTTATGTTAAGTTAGGTGACTAGGCCAAGTAGTTAAGCTAAGTAGTTACGTTAAGCTAAGTAGCTAAGTTAAATATTTAAGTCACATTAAGTAGTGGTGTTAAGTTTATTGATAAGTGTACTAAATAATATATATTGATAAGTATATTGATATAGATGAGTATATTGATCTTAATAACTAAGCAGTGGAGAATGTAATAAACCCCTGGTGTGTCCCTGGTGTGTAAGCAATAAAAATCATTTATAGGAAAGGCAATCTTGTGTCCATGTGTTCCTTTCTTCCCCATGACTGACAAGTCGTACGTTGCACCTGCTACTGTCGAGCAGTAGCAGTAGGCGCTCGTGACACCACATGCTTAAAACAAACAAAAAACTCTCTCATTAACCTTTCCTGGAATTATAAGTCACTGGAAGCTACCAGCCTCTGGAGACAAGAGGATCGGGCACAGCCTCACGACCACTAGCCTACAACAGAATCTAAGATATCAGGCCGGTGCTGTGGTGTAGTGGGTAAAGCCATCGCCTACAGTGCCAGCATCCCAAATGGGTGCCACTTTGAGACATAGCTGTTCCACTTCTGATCCAGCTCTCTGCTATGGCCTGGAAAGGCAGTGGAAGATGGCCCAAGTCCTTGGGCCCCTGCACCCACGTCGGGGGCCTGGAGGAAGCTCCTGGCTCCTGGCTTCGGATCCACGCAGCTCTGGCCGTTGCAGCAAATTGAGGAGTGAGCCAGCAGATGGAAGACCTTTCTCTCTCTCTCCTCTCTCTCTCTGCCTCTCCTTCTCTTTCTGTGTAACTCTGACTTTCAAATAACTAGATTAATTAAAAAAAAAAGAACATGAATCTCAGGTGAGGCATCAGCGCTGCCCGGCAAGCATCTTGTGTTTGCTCTGGTTCCTTCCTGCTCCCATTCTTTCAGGGATTGCTTCATATTTCCCTCTGGCTCCTTAGGCCGCCAACATCTTATCCATCCCTGTGCTTAATGACCTTGTTTCCTACTTCACTCTGAAAATTGATCAGACCGGGAGAACTGTCACAAGCTCCCTCCAGCACTCGTCTCTGTGGGGAGCAACTCGGACTAAGACTGTTACTGGAATTAAGACTTATTCTATGCATCTGCTCTCCCACAATATGGCGCTGGGAGAGGAGGAAATAGCTCTACACAGCTGCCTCCAGTTCAACCAATAAACAGCAGGACCTGCTCCTGATTGGAGGAGAGCAGCGTACTCGGCGTGTGGGTAGCAGAGTTGGGATTGGTGGAAGAGGACTATAAAGGAGGAGAGAGACAACATGCACCGGGAACATCTATCTGAAGGAACACCTGTGCAGCCCCCGAGAGAGCCGGCCGGTGGTATGCCGCTCCCCCGCGGAAGTGGGGAAAGTGGCAGGGGGAACCGCCCTTCCACAGAGGTGGAAGGGTCGGCAGCCAACCCGGGAAGAACCAGCAGCAAACCCGGGGAGGGCCGAGCAGACAAAAGAACAGCGCAGGGTCCTGTGTCGTTCCTCCACGAAGAGGGGGAGCGACAGTCTCCTCCTCTGGTGTCCACACACTCTGCACCGTCTCCTGTTACTCTGGAGGAGCTACAGGAGATGCTGGGGTCCTAAGCAACATCTTAACAACTACACCAAATATGCTGGCTCCTCAGTCCAAACTGTTTAAAGATATCTATTTAGGGGCCAGCGCTGTGGTGCAGTGGGTTAACACCCTGGCCTGAAGCACCGGCATCCCATATGGGCGCTGGTTTGAGACCTGGATGCTCCACTTCTGATCCAGTTCTCTGCTATGGCCTGGGAAAGCAGTAGAAGATGGCCCAAGTCCTTGGGCACCTGCACCCACATTGGAGACCTGGAAGAAACTCCTGGCTTTGGATCAGCACAGTTTCTGCCATGTGGCCATCTGGAGAGTGAACCATAGGATGGAAGACCTCTCTCTTTCTCTATGCCTCTCCTCTCTCTGTGTAACTCTGACTTTCAAATAAATAAATAATCTTAAAAAAAGAAAAAAGATTTATCTACTTATTTGAAACCAGTTCATCTTACAAAAAAAAAAAAAGATTTATTTATTTGAAAGAGTTACAGAGAGAGGTAAAGCCAGAGAGAGAGAGATCTTCCATTCCACTGGTTCACTCCACAATGGCCACAACGGCCAGAGCTGAGCTGATCTGAAGCCAAGAGCCAGGAGCTTCTTCCCAGTCTCCCATGTGGGTGCAAAGGCCCAAGGACTTAGGTCATCTTCTACTGCTATCCCAGGCCATAGCAGAGAGCTAGATAGGAGGTGGGGCAATCGGCTCTCAAACCGGCACCCATATGGGATGCCAGGGCTTCAGGCCAGCGCTTTAACCTGCTGCACCACAGTGCCGGCCCCGAAACCAGCTCAGCTTTTTAAGGGCGTAGAATGGAGAGCAGGGGGTGGAACCATATTTCCTGAACACCTACTTTGTGTGAGGCATTGACCTCATTTAGTCTCAAAACAACCCTGTGTGATAGGTATGATCATGCCGAGTTTGAAGATTTGGAAACTGAGAACCTGGCTAAATGACTAGATTTTTTCCATATTCTTATTATGGATTTTACAAGCGATGCAATAATAACTCCCTGCTGTGTTGATCAACACAGGCTGGGCCAGCTGCAGGTGCCCACACCTCCATCTCTCCAGAGAGCCCAGAGTGCTGAACATCTTAACAGCTAGGCCAAATACCCATTCTAGTTGTACAGAATTTTCTTGTGTTGATTTTGTATTCTGCTACTTTGCTAAGTTCATGTATTTATTCTAACATAATAAGTATTCTATTCTATTATTCTAACATAATAATTATTGTGGAATCTTCATAGAATTTTCTACAATTTCTTACCATCTTTAAATGGAGATAATTTACTTTTTCCTTTCCAATCCAGATGCTATGTAATTTTTCTGACCTCAGTGCTCTGGCTAGAACTTCTGGTACTGTATTAAAGAAGCAGTGAAAGCAGACATCTGATCTTAGAGGGAACGCTCCCAGTCTTTCACCACTGGTGATGCTATCTGTGAGTTTTTCATCATGCTGCAGTAGTTTCTATTCCTCTGCACCTGTTGAGTATTTGTGTCGTGAAAGTATGTGGCTTTTGTCAAATGCTTTTTCTGCCTCAATTGAGATGATCATGTGTTTCTTTTCCCATTATTTTGCTGTTTATTCACTTCCCAAATGCCTGACAAAAAAAACTGGAGCTGGGCCAGGCTGAAGCCAAGAGCCAGGAACTCCACTGGGTTCTCCCACATGAATGGCAGGGATCCAAACACTTGAACCACCATGCTGCCTGCCAGGGTACTTAAGACGCTAGATGGGAAGTGGAGGCAGGGCTGGATCCCAGGTATGTGGGCAAACCAAAGGACAGCTTAATCCACTGTGCCACTATGCTAGCCTCCTTTCCACACTTTTTTTTTTTAAAGACATTTTATTTATTTATTTGAGAGGTAAGTTATAGACAGAGGGAGAGAAAGAGAAAGGTCTTCCATCCACTGGTTCACTCCCCATATGGTCACAATGATGGGAGCTGAGCTGATCTGCAGCCAAGAACTAGGACATTCTCCCAGGTCTCCCAGGTGGGTGCAGGAACCCAAGCACTTGGGCCATCTTTCACTGCTTTCCCAGATGCCTTAGCAGGGAGCTGGGTTGGAAGAGGAGCCGCCAGGACTAGAACAGTCACCCACATGTGATACTGGTGCTGCAGGCGGAGGCTTAGGACACTGTGCCACAGCGCCGGCCCCTTTTCCACCACTTTTGAAGGACAGTTTTGCTGAATATAGGGTTTTTGGTTGACGGCTTTCTTCCCTCAACACTTTGTATATGTTGGCCCACTGCCTTTGGTCTCCATAATTTCTGATGAGATGTCTGCTGATATTCTTATTGAGAATTCCTCCTATGTGGCAAGTTGCTTCTCCCTTGCTGCTCTCGAGGGTCTTTGTTTTTTCAGTTTGATTGTAATTGTCTTAGTGTGGGTCTCTTTGAGTTTACCCTATTTGGCATCCGAAGGTTCCAAAAGGCACTTTTCCCTCTCTCCACCCCCAGAAGATGAATGCTTCCTCAAATCTTCATGTATTTCAGCCACTCTGATCTCTACTCTCACAGGACTGTTTGCAAGTACTTACCAGTTAAGAGGGGACTTTCTTTCTAGCTCTATCCCCTTTTCCAAGTGCAGTTTTTCTAGACCCTCTGGTTCTCTGCAGTTTGGTAATGGGATAACTAGAGAAATCTCCACTGTGGAATAGTGTTTATTTTTCTACTTTAGGTAATTTGAAATCTGTAGTGTTTGTCTTCTTGTTATGTGAAAATGTGTAATTTGTATAATTTAATTCTTCCTATTAAATACTAAGAGGTAAATATGGAGGGATTTGGAGACCAGCACTGTGGTGCAGTGGGTTAACACCTTGGCCTCAAGCGCCGGCATCCCTTATGGGTGCTGGTTCAAGACCCTGCTGTTCCACTTCCTGTGCAGCTCTCTGCTATGGCTTGGGAAAGCAGTAGAAGATGGTTCAAGTCCTTGGGCCCCTGTACCCACATGGGAGACCCAGAAGAAGCTCCTGGCTCCTGGCACACCTCCAGCTGTAGCAGCCATCTGGGGAGTGAACCATAGGAT